CTGATCTGTCAGTGGTTTGCTGTGAGTTCTGACTATCTCACAAATGCTTTTGTGTGAAGAGGATGAATATGTGAAAATGATTCTCTAAGTGTGTATGGAGATATTTCTCTATGGTGCCATCGCTTGTACCAGTAAGACACTCTGATCCAATGTATTCTTGTAGACATCTCTGCAATTCAGGGGAAAAGTAATAGGCCAAAAAGAAGTGTTTCAGAATTGAAATGTAAACATGAGCTAATTAATGAGTGAATTTTCTGTTGTTTAGGACAGGGATGCTAGCCTCTCACTGAGCAAGTAGAGTAATTACATTATGTTTCCTTTCATCATTAAATAAGCCGATATCCGTTTTACTTTCTAGTGGACTGCGTCTCGGGGTTATAAAATGGTCCTGTTTGCCCCGATCTTCTTCACAGGGCTGGCCTTTGCTGTCCTCTCATCTGTGCACCCAGTGTTTGGTCTGTACGGGTCCCTGTTTCCTGCCATCATTTACGCCGTATTTGGAATGGGACGCCATGTTTCCACAGGTAATAATTTCTGTCTATGCTTATGCTTCTCATGTTACTGATGAAAGGGACTTAAAAGTGGTCGTTTGTTACTGATAACACTTCCAAAGCAATGCTAACTTCACTCCTGGTAATATTAGGGCAAATATTATCAGCAAATATTAGTGTAAGACATTCAACTTTCTGTGCCTCCATACATACCGGAATTTATTACTATGTTTCTGTGTAACCAAGGTTATTGTTAAAGATTCTGCGCATTTTTAAGTTGTAAAAAGAATGTAAGAGAAGGATAAATGTCCTGAATTTATAATGAAATGAAAGTAAGCACTCTGAGGAAAAGAAAAGACTCTAAAATTTAGTTACTCAAATATTGAACATTATTTTCCATGTAACTGTTACTTGGATTAAGCAATCGGTTACGTTTCTTCCAAGCTAGATTCTGTGATGCCCTCTATTATTACATCTCTTACATTGCCTAGCTTTGCATTACCAAATAAAATGTGGACCGCCACGGGTAATCTGATAATAGAGCAGGCTGGTGAAAAACACGGGTTTGGGAGTTAGACCTGGGTGTATGTCTCATTTGCCCTTTGCTATCTGCATGACCTTGGGCAAAGTTTTAAAGGTCTGTTTGCTGCTTTCTTGATAGTAAAATGTCAAAAACAATCATGATTGCTGTGAGTACTAGATGAGACGACTGATGTGCAAGTGTATAATTTAGTGCTTGCTATGTAAGAATTAATGAAAGCTATTAGTTATCATCACCAAAATGGTAACTTCATCTTACATATGAAGATAATAATAATAAAAACACATAAGAGGGTAGATCCATGAAGGCATTTCTGTCCATTTTGTGTATGTAAGATCTCAGTCTGTAAGGAATACATTTTTGTTGTCAGTTTCTTCAGTGGTCAGTTTGTGTTACTGAAGAAAACTTTATTTCCTACAAGAAAACTTTATTATCCTACAGTTTTAGAGACCAGAAGTCTGAAACGAGGCTCACAGGTCTAAAACTGAGGTGTCAGTGGGCTGCATTCCTTTCTGAAAGTTCTAGGGAACAATTCATTTTAACTTTTCCAGCTTCTAGAGGCCCCTGCATCCCTGGTGCAAGGCATCTTCCTCCATCTTCACAGCCAACAGTGTGGCATCTTTAAACCTCCTTCCAATTCTGATCTTTCGCCTCCATCTTCCATATTTAAAGGGCCACTATGATTACACGGGGCTGCCTGGACAATTTAGGATAATCTGCTTATTTTAAGGTCAGCTGATTAGCAACCTTAATTCCATCTGAAGTGTTAATTACCCTTTGCCATGTAGCGCACTACTTACAGGATATGGACTCATTTGGAAGGCCATGATTCTGCCTGCAGCACTGGTACATTGGTACATGCATTTTCCTCATGCAGAAATTAACCCCTAAAATAATGTTTTATTTATGTAAATTTGGTTTCTTGTGTCAGTGAACTTTGTAATGGGAGACAGGATAATCAGTTACCAGACGTACTGCACAGCTGCCTGTAGTATGGTCACACACCAGCAGGATCAGTGTTGTGTGGAAGCTGGCTAAAAATGCGAGACCTTGGTTCTTGCTCCAGATCTATTGATTCTGAATCAGTGTTTTCACACAATCTCCAGGTGTTTTTTCTAAATCTATCTGTCTATCTGTGTATGCACGTATGTGTATATTTACTTAAATTTGAGAACCTTGGATGTACTGTATATTAGATGCTTTGTTAAGAGGTTTACATTTGTTATTTTATTTTATCTCAATACAGTCCTTTTAAATGGACATTATTATTTGCATATTTAGGTTAAAAAACAGCCCTGAATTTCGTAAAGGTTTCTGTGAGAGCACAGATTACCTTGCAGATGCATGGATTGCAGCCTAGGTATGGCCAAATCTGAAGCCGAAGCCTTTTTTCTCTACAACCAGCTGCTCAAGAATGGACTTTCCTTTTGTCTTGATGTGAAAGGAGAAAAGCAGTATAATGAATTAGAGGTCCTTGAAGCCTATTATATTCAAATTTTCCTGTTCTCTAATTTCCTAACAATTTATTTTCATTTTTCAAAACATTTAAATATGTCATTAGCAAGAAAAAGCAAATTATTTTAGAGCTGACCTCAAAGCATTTCCTCTGTTAAAGGATAAAAGAAAAAGGTTAAAAAAAGTTTCCCAATAGAACATAATTACTTTAAAAAAATCAAAATACTTACCTTGATATTCCTAAGTGTGCATTTACATAAACCGCTTTATTTCCTAAGGAATCATTATAGACGTTTTACTGGTGGCAGGGTTTTGAAATTGCCATTTACATAAGACGTTGTATTTAGCAAATATTATTAACAGCTATAGGAATCTTGTAGTCTACTAAATAGATAATGTAGATTTCAAAAGACATGTAATTTACAGACTTTACTATAGTCACTGTATAACACAATAAGTGCTTAACACATTTTATTTCTGCATATGTACTCCTCCAAAGGACAGAGCCAGCTGGACTTTCTCCTCTCTTTTTTTATCCCAATAGACTTGGAATTCTTTAGACTCAATAAAGAAGCAATGATCCTTTTCCCTCATGGTATTATATTTACACACACACACACACATGTATATAACTTTTATATAAGACTCTATATTTAATTTTAATATTAATATTAGAAATAGTTATCAATAAAACATTAATAACATTAACATTATTTATATATGACATATGTATGTATGTGTATATGTATCTCACCTAAAGTCCCTGCAAACAGTTAATACAGAGAACAGAGTCTCTTTTCAATGATGTTGCTGTCCCTTATTTTGGTGTATGTGTGTGTGTGGGAACTACTATTTCTGTTTTCCTGTTAAGAGATTGTTGCTGCTTTTATAAAGAAAAATCACTTTATCTTGGATTTTACCTCCAACGCAGAGAGTCAGAATGCAATACTGAATTACTAAATGTAATAATGAATCATACGTAAGATATCTTTAAAAGCAAATAATTCAAAAGCTAGAATGTAAAGACACCAGATACACTGTTTTTCTTAACAATGGATTATTTTCTTATTTTAATTAAAAATATGCATTATATATATTAAAAAGGAGTAAATCATTGCTTCTTGTGACTTGCAAAGAACATGTCTTCGAATAAAAAGGAAAAGAATAGAAATTCGGGTATGAATCCATTGGAAACAAAATTGTTGAAGATAACCCATAGGTGACAATTTGTAGGAAATAATTATCTTCTGAATTAGAGGGAAAATTTTTAAATTTTCAGCAATTTAGAGAAAACATTAGGGAGAGCATAGAGGGAACTCTCCAGAAGAAACAAAAATGAGCAAACAGTTATTTACCAAAGGCCTATGATGTCATGAGTCTTGTGATAGAAGATTTTTATGTATGGAATCTCATTTGATCTCTACCCAGGTTTTGTGACTAGATATTTTATCATCATCTTATAAATAAGGAAGCTGAGAGAGGTTAGGTAACTTGAGCAGGAATTTGAACTTGGGTCCGTCCAATTCTGAGGCCCCAGTTCACTTCTTACGAAGCCCTGGCGCCCACAGTACTGCTAAGCTGCTGGGTGGGTTCACTGGTATTTTACAGGTACCACTCCTAGACTTAAAGCCCAACCAGAGTGAGGGAAAGAGCAGAGAGGCAGTAGGGATAAGATAAAGACAAAGGCAAGACCTGTGAGATAGAGAAGATGAAACGTTCCCACACCCTCAAACGTCGTTCCCACACCCTCACCGGCAGCGTCAGCATCCTTGACTGTTCTCAGCTGCCTCAGAGACAGCACAGCATCATCCTTTCAAAAGAGGCAGGACTCGCTCCTACAACCATGTTGGCGCAGTGGGTATCCCCATATCCATTGCTGGCAAGCTCTCTAGGTGGAGAAGTTCTTGGCATGTGACTCCCACACAGGTGAGGCTCACTTCTCTTTCCTCAACAAAACCCTTTAGGTGGCCTTTCTCTCTTACCTGTTCAGTTCCTTCTTGTTTTTCTCCAAACTCCAGGAAAGACAGGTCTACACTCAAATTTAACTCCCAAACATCTTTGTTTTCAGTTCTGCAGTCATTTGTTCAGTGGCTTCTGTACAAATTGTTTTGCTCCATGCTCCAGGAGATTTAAAGACCAAAATACACACCTTTTTATTCTCAGGCATATCAGACTTGGGGAAATTCTGCTGCAATACATCTTGAAAAATTAAACCTTATTAAGAGCAGATTGTATGGCAAATGTTCCTTATTTGGTGTTGCCCATTCTGGATGCCAGGAGTCTCTGATCATTCGATTTATTTGTTCCTTGATGTGTTCTTGATTTAGTACATTATGGTGAGAATAGTAGTCACAATGGTTGATATTGACTGATGATTTACCGAGAGTGACAGCTCCCTAAGAGAACTACATTCAATTTATGTATTTATGTACCATCAACTCAGTGGCACAGGGAACACAGAATGATAGACCATAACAGAGCATTCTGAATTTAATCTCAACAGGAATTATCTTTTTTAGGTGCTAACTACGTGCCACATATTGTGACATGTGATCTATTACGTTATTTCGTTTAAGGCTCATAACAACCCCGCTGGGTGAGGAATGCTGTCTGTCTTTAGATAAAGAGATTGAGATGGCAGTGCTGGGGTTTAAGGCGAGGCTTGTTGGAGGCTGCAGCCACCACCCTATTCTGAACTACCCCCCACACAGCCTCGCTTACCCTGGAAAACCGAAGGAGTGTTGGTGTTGGGTTTCCACGAGGCTGGTTTCTGTTTGACCTGTCTCTCTTGCCCTATGAGGCTGCATGCTGTTTGTTGAGGTATCTGCATATTACCACAGGCTTTTTTTTTTCATGAAGTGTCACTTATGACCTGGATAAAGTCAGTTTTGAGTGGGGTGAATGTGGACAAATATTGCAGTTTGTTTCTTTGATCCGAGATAGCTGAACCCTCTCTGTGGGAACTGGCCTTTCCCTGCCAGTATGGCTGCATTCTCAGACATGCTGTGCCAAGACGAGAGGCATCTGAACTCTTGGCGGGAAGAGGGGAACACACTGAAAATGGTCCTGCATTTGTGTGCGGCCAGGACAATGCCTGGGAAATGCCGTTGAACTTCACCTAGTTACAGGACCCAGAGATGGTATGTGCAGGCATTTTAGGGGTCGCAGCATGCTGTTGTGCTGTAACAGAGGTGTAGAAAGGTTAAACCTGGCCTGGGGGTCTGGGATGGATCTTTGCTGCCTGTAGGATTTGAGCCAGACCAGGAAAGACGAGAGTGTTTTCACAGGCAGATTGGAGGAGCAAACGTTTCAGGCAGAGTCCCAGATTCAGCAAAGAGCCATATTTATCCACTGAGCCTGTTGAGGTTTTCATATTCATCATCCCACTTTTATTCTCCTGAAACTAAAATGTAGGTGTTGTTATCCCCATTTTACAGATAAGGCAATTTAATCTCAGAGTGATGTGCTTTAAGTCATGATTGTTCTTATTTTTTATTTTTATTATACTTTATTTCTAGGGGGATAATTTTATTCATTCATTCATTCATTCATTTTAGTGGAGGTACTGGGGATTGAACCCAGGACCTCGTGCATCCTAAGCATGCTGTATTACTGAGCTCTACCCTCCCCTAAAGTCACAATTGTGATAAATGGAGAAACTGGATTCAAGTCCAGACCATGATCTTAATCCCTGTCCTGAGATCATTTTCTATGCAGGTTTGCAGAGAGGCGGGAAAATGTATGGCTTGGGGAGGGGTAGCAAGTAGATGGCATGGCTGTAGGTTGAAGAAATACATGTATGTGTAGGTGAGTTTCTATTTATTCCATGGAGCAGAGTGAAGGGTGGAGGCGTGGGAGTGCAGAGGAGAGGATGTCTCGTAGATCTGTTTTGGTTTTACAACGTAGATTCAACTTCAATGGCAGAAGCCAGTAATGTATATTGGGTCTGTTACTAATAGAAGGTTTCCCCCGCTCCCCAACTCTTCTAGGTACCTTTGCCTTGACATCCCTAATATCAGCCAATGCAGTGGAGCGGCTGGTCCCCCTGAGCAGCCAGAACCTTACCGTGCAGAGCAACACGAGTGTGCTGGGCTTGTCTGACTTTGAGATGCAAAGGATCAGTGTTGCTGCCGCTGTGTCCTTCTTGGGAGGGGTGATTCAGGTACGCACATGCAAACTTGGGAATAAAGGGAGGGGGACAGTGGCAAAGGAAAGGCAACTGGCGCTTTATTTGTTATATGAAGCTTTTTTTTGTCAGTTCAAGTTTTTCTTCCAGTTTTATTGAGATACAATTGACATACAGCACTGTACGTATAAGGTGTGCATGCGTACATCATGAAATTATTGTCACAGTCATTTCAATGAGCATCCATCATCTCTTACAGATACAAAATTGAAGAGATAGGAAATAAATATTTTTCCTTGTGTTGAGAAGTCTTAGGATTGACTCTCAACAAGTTCTACATACATTCAGCAGTATTAATTATATTAATATTAATATAATATGATTAATTATATTTATCATATTGTACTTATTTATCTTATAATTACATAATATGGTGATTCAATATTTCTGTACATTTCAAAATGATCACTATGATAAGCCTAGCTGAGATCTGCTACCAGGCAAAGACAATGCATAGATGCTGACTACGCTCCCCGCTCCGTATATTTTGTATCTGTGGCTCATTTATTTTGCAGCCGGAAGTTTGTACCTCTCTTTTTCGTTCATCTGTTCTTTCCTCCCCCCACCATCCACCCTCTGTAAACTACCTGTTTGTTCTTTCTATTTATCTATAACTCTACTTCTGTTTTCTGAAAACAGGGTCTGCTCCCCTGTTGCTGGAATAGAGGCTTCTAGACAGACCCGTTTCTGAGCTGTGGTGTGTGGAGGCAGGGTTGGAGGGCTGCAGCTGGGACCAAGGGTCACTGAGTGTGTGCCTCTGCAGGAGATGTCCCCTGGGAAGTGCCCTCTGTGGTGTTGTCTGTCATTTGTTATGCAGGCTTGCAAAGAACTCTTTATTAACGCTGCCTTTGTCCCCACCTTAGCTGCAGGAATGCCAGCCACCTGCTCTGGTGTCCCCCAGGTTCTGGGCTCCCAGAACCACCAGAGCAGATCTGCCAGTGTCAGGTGCTAGGACCCACCGTAGCGAGTGTGCAGTCACACACCTGAAGCCGTGGTGCACCACAGGGTTAGTGCAGACCCCAGCCCTGCCTCTGCCTACAGTGACGGGTGCTGGCCTATTGTAAATACCTGTATTGGCCCCCTGCGGTGTGCCAGAACTCTGCTCACTGCCTGTTCATCCCAGACGCATGGGTTCACAAAGGCACCAGTGGATCAAATCCACCCTCTCTGCCTGGGGCTGTAAACAAATCTCTGTCCCACCTATGAAGCTGCAGGGCCACTGGGAATGGATCCAGCGTTCAGCCCCACCTCCACACAACATCACTGGCTATGACGGAGCCTCACCTCTCTTCTCGTGAGAACTAACCAACAACGGGGCAGGGGCCATGGCCTGGCTGTGTTGCATCCCTCCGCCCAATGGGCACCAGCAGTGGTGCTTTTTAAGGGGGTCCCAGGCTGTGGTGTTCCGCCCACACCCCCAGCCAGAGCTCACACCGCCCTCCAGTCCCCTGAGGCTCCTCTGTGCAGTGGGCCCCAGCCCTGTACCCGGACTCGTCGCCGATCTCCAGCAGCCAGTCCCAGTTTGTCCCTGCCGGCCCACGTCTAGGGCAGGGGACCGCAGTTCTGTCTGCCAGCAGGCTGCCACTTTCCCCTCTGAGCCGCGGGAGCTCACTTCTGGCCCCGCTGACCCCCTGGCTGGAGGGGGGCGTCCCAGCATGAGGGCGCCTCTCTTCCTGTGCCGCTCCCTCCCCCAGGACTGGCCCCACACCAGTTTTCTTTTTCTTCCCCCCCCCCCTGTTTTACACTGACTGGGTTTTGTGAGAATCCGTCTGTATTTCAAAGCGAGGGACACTCTGCCAGAGTTCAGTAGGTGCTCCGTGTGATTTCATGGCTCTGTAGCTCTTGGTGGATTTCCAGAGGGCGAGCTGTGAGTCTGTCTACTCGGCCATCTTGGCCCAGAAACTAGTTCATTAACTTTTAAAGTAAATATTGATAGTTACCTACTTACTGCCATTTTGTTAATTGTTTTCTGATATTTTGCAGTTATTTTTATTCCTTTCTTCTTTTATTCTCTTCCTTTGTGATTTGACGACTATCTTTGGTGCTATTTTTGAATTTCTATCTCTTTTGTTGACTGTGTATCTCTGGTAAGTTTTTGTTTTGTGGCTACCGTGAGGTTCATATATAACAAGGTGATGATCGCGTAAGTTCGAATGCATTCTAAGAATCCTGCATTTTTACTCATCCTTCCACATTTAATTTCTTTGACACCTTATTTTGCATGTTTTTGTTTTGGGAATCTCTTTACAACTTACTGTGGATATAGATGATTCTACTGCTTTTGTCTTCTGACCTGATAGCTTCGTAAGTGGGTATCTACTGTCTCTTTGTTTTTCTTTATCAGTGAGATTTTAGTTTTGTGATTTTCTTATTTCTAGTTGTGGTCTTCCCTTTTCAAAGTAAAGAAGTCTCTTTACCGTTTCTTGTAAAGCTAGTTTAATGTACTGAACACTTTTTAGCTTTTGCTTGTTTGTAACACTTCATCTCTCCTTCAAATCTGAAAAAAGTCCTTGCTGAATAAAGCATTCTTGGTTGTAGATTCTTTTTCTTTCATTATTTTGAGTGTGTTATGCCACTCCCTTCGGTCTGTAAAGTTTCTGCTTAACGTCAGCTTATAGCTTCATGGGAGTCGCCTTCCATGTAACTAGTCGCTCTTCTTTTGCTGCTTTTACAGTTCATTCCTTAAGTTTTGGCATTTTAATTATAATGTGTTTTAATGTAAACTTCTTTGGGTTCATCTTGTTTGGAATTCTCTGTGCTTCCTGGACCTGGATTTCTGCTTCCTTTCCCAAATTAGGAAAGTTTTCAGCCTTTATTTCTTCAAATAAGTTATCCGACCCTTTCTCTCCTCATCTCCTTTTGCAACCCCTATAATGCCAATGTTAGTTCGTGTGATGTTGTCCCAGAAGTCCCTTCAACTATCTTCACTTTAAAAAATTCTTTTTTCTTTTTTCTGTCTAGTTTGGGTGATTTCCCCTGATCTGTCTTCCAGTTCACTGATCTGTTTCTCTGGTATCGTCTAATCTGCTGTTGAATTTTTTGTGTATTTTTTATTTCATTCATCATATTCTTTATCTCTGATTCTTCTTTATATTTTCTAATTGTTTGTTAAAATTCTCTCTGTGTTCATCCATTCTTCTCCTAAGCTCACTGAGCATTTTTATGATCAGTACCTTAAACTCTGTATCAGATAGACTGATTGTCTCTACTGTGTTTAATTTTTTTTTGAGCTTTTGTCTTCTTCCCTTATTTGGAACAAATTCCCCTGTGTTGTCATTTTGCTCAAATCTTTGTGTTTATTTCTGTCTATTAGGTAGGTCAGTTATGTTTCAGTATGTTAGGTAAGTGTCCTTACGCAGGCATTGTCCTGTGGGCCCCAGCAGCGCACTCCTCTCTGGTCACCAGAGCTGTATGATCTGAGAGCTCCCCCTTTGTGGTCTGTGTGGACCCTTTTGGAGTGTATCTGGGCTTACTCCCTGGACTGCTTATCTGCTGGAACCTGCCACAAATGAAGTTTAGAATATCCTGGGGGGATTCAGTCTCACTGGTGGTCAGGGCTTCATCCCCAGGTGGCTGACCCTGGTGGTCCCAGGATGGTGCTGGTCCGCTGGTGGGTAAGTGTGCCTGCAGTGATGTTAGAGTAGGGAGAGGGTTTCACAATGTCACTTGCCAGTACCAGTGTCTGTGTTAGAGCAAGCTGTCAAAAACGGCTGGCCCGAGCATCATGAGGGAGCGTCCCAGTCACCTCCTGTCTCTTTGGGAGACCTTCCAAGATCAGCAGTCGGGTCTGACCCAGGATCATTTTAAGTCACTGGCATCATGCTAGGATTTGGAACATGTGAGGCTTTGCAAACACTCTTTAAGAGGGGAATCTCTTCTCCCACAGCCCTCTGGACTCTCCTGTGTGCAAGTCCTTCTAGCCTTCAAAGCCAGGCATTCTGGGGGCTCACCTTTCTGCTATAGGACGCCCAGGCTGGGGAGCCTGAGATGGGGCAGGACCCCTCACTCACTGGGGAGAACCCATGCACTGGTGACTGCCTCCCACCTTGTGGGCTGCCTCCCTGCGGTGTGGTCCTTGACTGCACTGCATCTCTGCCTCGTCTCCCTCTCCTGCTGTGGTTTCCTTTTATATTGTTATTTGTGGAATATCTTTTATGCTCATCTTCAGGTTGTCCTCCCAGATAGCTGCTCTGTGAATAGTTGTGATTAGTGTGCCCACAGGGGGAGGCGAGCTCAGTTTTCCTACTCCAATATTTTGGCCATACCTCTGTTTTATCCTTAATATGGTTTGGATTCTGTGTATTAATTTTTTTATTTGGTACTTTTGCGTTATTTTTCTTCAGTGGTATTGAAGTATAATTTTCTTTTTTGTACTGTCTTTATCAGATCTAGTTATCAGTGCTTTCCTTATTAACATTCTTTTTCAATGCTTTTAAGCAATGTGTCACACTTTGGAACATCTCATCTCTGAAGGTTTTGTTGAATCCTCCTTTAAAGAATCTTCCATTGAAATCACCTGTTCTCTGGTACTTTTTGAGGGGTCTTTGGTTGATAGCATTCTCTATTTCATCTACAAAAATTGATGAGTTTAAGCATTCTATCACTAATATGGCCAAATTTGACAATCTGAATTTCGCTAGAAGGTTATCCTTTTTATCTAGCTTTTCAAATTCATTTGTATGTATGTCTTTGATTTCTTAAGATTTTTAAACAATTTCTTATTTTATTTTTTTCTCCTTTGACATTTCTTAATTTCATATTTGTGTTTTTATCCTTTTTTCTTGATCAGGCTTTCTGGTGGTTTGTCTGTTTTGTTAATTCCCTTTTTAAGGATTTTGAAATGGTAGATCTACTTTTTTCTATTTGTAATCTCTGCTTTAATCTTTATTTCCTTCCTTTTGCTATTTTTTTCATTTAGTTTTTAATCTGGCTTTTGAGCTGGGAATTCTATTTGTTATAACTTTAAAATTTTTATT